AGTTGTATGAAGAGATCTCAAAGTCCAAACACCCCTGCCATGAGCAGGGATACCTTCCATGAGATGCGCTTTCTGTCACACATTTCCTCTTTAAGGGGGATGACTCCTCACACTCTTCTGTACTTCAGCATGTGTCCTTATCACAGACTGCAGTCCTTCAGCTACTCAATGGTCGAGTGTGGGTCTCCCATGGGGGTCATTACTACATGCTCTACTTTAATTCATACATAAAGAGATTCTCTCTTTCCTGTGACTAACACAAGAAGTGTCAGGCAGTCTGAAGTCACAATACTTCAAAACTGTACCTATGGAAAATGTAGTGATAGAGTACCCATTGAAATTATCTATGGCTTAGCTTGCAGAAGGAATCAACAGAAAAACCTTCTGGGTTCAAAAAGTAATTAGCAGCAGTCCAAAAAAGTACCACAGGTAAAAGTAGTAGTCTTTTGATACTAAAGCGAAGCAAATTATGATGAAGAATGAAGACTCTACTCTCTAAGGAAGAGGATCATAGCAAACATGAATCACTGAGTCTAAGGAAGAGTCACCAGCTTTATCAAAACAGTTCTTTAAACTTACAATGTGATTATCACAGAATACTTGTGATACAGTATTTCTTAACCTGCAACTTTGATAATTGTGAGTTATTTTGCACCATGGGAAATCTCCAATAAAAAAAAAAGCCCCAGCTCCTTTAAAAAGGAAGTTGTGAATATGTGTAGCAATTCATATGCAATTAATTCTTCACCATCCATAAAATTATGGTACATACCATTAGAATAGTAACTGTTACAGAGAAAATACTTCTGTGTAAATTCACAGGGTTGAGGATATTATGATAAAATGATCTTACAGTTTTAACTTTGGCCAAGTTTAATTAAACAACCAGTAGGCCTCAGAACCTAAATGTATGTACAAAAATAAAGACACATAAACAAATTTGTCTTCTAAAAGAGAATTTACTAAAATGGTCATAATTTCCCCAGATTTTAGCTATTTTTGTCTATTAGTTTTAATTTCTGTCTGGAAATAATTGTTAAAGGGAAGATTCAAAACAAATAAAACTGAAAACTCAGATCCAGGCATGGAATGGATAAATCACTATTCTCACAGGAAGAAAAAAATCCACAAAGCTGAAGGCTGAATATATGTGTATTTCCATAGGTGTGTCAGAGAATAAACAGTCAACATTAAATCAAAGAGGAATTGCATTTCTTTTGTTCCTCAAAACTCCTGCTAATGAATAACATCGGGCTTTTCTCCATGAGTTAGATGACTCATGTTTTCAGTGAAATTGTCAGCCATGGGAAACTTGTTATTCAAATTGTGAACTGCTATACTTCTTCCCCCTCTTAACTCCTTCCTTTTAATGTCTTTATCTTATTACTCTCCTTTTAAAAGAAGAGCCATTAGTAATGTCAAGGAGAGAGTACACAGCACAAAATCTCTTGTGATAAAAAAGTATAAATTTAGTTAAACCCAAAAATTATACTAGTTGAAAGGGTCAGTATACATAGCCCCAAACAGACAAATATAATTACAATAGGAGATTTTTCACAACCAAAATACAGGTGATATTATCTAGAATTATGAGGAAGAATGCAAATACAAATCAAGAAGACAAATGAATAGCAATTCCTCCAATAAAGGTAGTATTTAAAGACATAAGATTTCCTAGTACTTCTTGAACAAAATTTAGCATATATTCTTATGATGTTTTACTGTATACCTCCTGAGGTCTGACAGAAGAGAAGTGAAAAGAATCATCATTTCCAGAGAAAAAAAATATGATCATTTAATATACAAAGAGATTTGAGGCCTCTGCTCATTTTAAAGGTTAAAAAAAAAAAAAAAAACAATGCAAAAGATTGGGCTTGGGAGTTTGAACTTACTGCATATGAAACTATCCTAAGGAAGAGGAACACAATAAAAAGATTGAAGAATATAAAAGGGCACAACATGTGTTGTTCAAATACTTCTATATTTATGGTAAAATTAAAGAAAATAGAATATTGAGCTGAATTTATTTCTTTCCAAGATTCAACTAATCATTATCAAAGGGAATTATTTCTGTGAAAACATGTTTCTTACCACTAATAACAACTATTTCACTTGGGAATTATCTTGACCAGAACTGTACCAATTACTAAAAGAGATATAAATATTGATTCTAGTAAGGTCTGACTGAAAAAATCTTATAATATATATCAAGAGCCGTGCAGAAAACACTTACAGCTCACTTTAAAAAGACAGTGACAGTAATATCACTGAGGACAGAAATCAAAATGTATGGTTGAAATAAGAAAAATTCTATTGTAGAACATATAGCTAAAAATACTTAACAGTACTTTATCTGTAGCGACAGGAGTCCTAGGAATTAACTATAATGGAGTTAGTCTTTCAAATACTCCTCTAGTAATTAAATTATTTTAAGCAATAAATAAAATCCACATAAAATACAAACTTCCTACAGTTATGAGAGAGCAAGTAAGGCATACATTTGCAGAAAAACTAGAACACTGAGAGCAAAATGTATTGCAGGAGTAAAGATTACAGTCTCCATGATGCGTTCTAAACCAATTCCCAATATACAGAAAAGTGAAAACAAATATTTAATAATTAGCAGCAGGGAAGGGACAGAGGATAATCTCACCTAACAACAGAATTTTTAAATCCAAATTCAGCACAAACACACAATGAACTGTTTTATAGGCAGGGGAAGGTGAAACATGGTTCATTTCAACCTAAGCAAGTCACCTATAGTCAGAGGAGCCAGCCTGGAAAAAACTACCCACTCCACAGACTATTAAGAGAGTTTTGATAACTAAATAATTCACAGATATGTAGATAATATTCTTTCACCTCAGTTATAAAAATTTTACAGAGGATGAAAAAGCTGTTATAGCTGCACAGTGACACGAGTTTCAAAACCTTAAGATAAGCCATAAGGAAACAAAGACAATTCAAAACTAACATCTGAAAAGAAAAATAGAAAGTAGGAAGCAGTGAATTTGCAGACAAGAGAATTATCTCTACTTAAGTCTACAAAAAGTGATTATGAAGTAAAAATTCTTTTTTCTAGTGAAGATTTCAACACAGCACCCTCAGAATTGGACAACTTCCATCATTCTAATACAGAGAAGTATTAAGAAAATCCTATAAGTTACTTCTGGTCAGTAGCCTTGTAACAGGCCAATGACTCGGTTAAACATAGGACAGAAAAAACACAGTAACACAGTAGACTTTATAAAATAATGTTGGAGGTTCTTGCCTTAATGAACTTGAACATGTCATTTAAGAAGTTAGCATAAAGAGAAAACAGTCAGAGAAAATCTATAAAATAAATAGGGATTTAAGAGTTTCAGCTTGAGACTAGATCTGTGTATTAGTTTAGAAAAGAGAAAATATATTCCCCTAGAAGCAGAACTCCTAAATAAAGATACATAAAAAAGATCAATAGAATGCCCTGAATCTGATGGTTTGCATCCTTGAATTATTCATTACTGCCTGCAAGCCATACCTTCAATCTGCATTGCAATCATTAAAATAATAATTTTTTATTAAATTCGAGATGATGGAATTGAAGCTTCACTTTTTAGCTCCTATAGATCTAACAACCCCCTTTATCCAACGTCTGCATCAGCATTTAGCTATTTTTCTTAACTTTCATTTGATATTTTACTGGTGGCAATATTCAAGAAATAACAATCTGCATCACTGTTTTCAATGCCAATATTGGATTTCAAAAGAGCCGTCACGGAAGAGATCAAGCTGCCCCACCTCTCAGATATGTTCTGTCAGTCTGTCTTAAGATGAGCAAAGACAATATTGTAGCAGCTTATGCTCATTTAACATTTGGAAAATTGATTGATTTTCTTACTCCCTACAGCCATATGGATTAGAAACTCATTTATTTCTCTTTGTTATGAAAACACAATCTGAAGCAGAGGTATGTAGCAAATTTTAAAAGCAGGATAATTATGCAACAAGTAAAACACTGCATAATCTCATTATACCATAGATGGGTTTTGACAGTAAGAGTGACAAGAACAATTTGAATTTGAACAAAATCAAAATGCATAAAATGAAATACATTTTAACATAATGTTTAACTGCAGCAAGAAATAAGTGAAGTCTAAGGCTTAGAAAAATTTAGAAATTAATCAGCTCTATGCATGGAGAACAGAATTCACTTGACAGGATACAATAACATAACACAAGTTTAAATATTCTTCCTCTAGTCCAAGCTGCCAATTACTGGGGATCAAGGAAAGATGCAAGCCTGTTCTGAAACTATATAATCCACTTTTTCATGTAGACTTGGGACATAATCTCTCAGGTTTTGTACCCTTTGCTCTCATTTATATTCATGCAAAAGGAAAATTATGATCTTATTAATGGCTTATTAATTATCATTAATATTTACAAAGGTAGTCAGAGATAAGCAGGTTACAGCATCAGAAACTAGACTCTGAATTTGATGACCAAAACTTAAATATTGCTTAATTTATTTATTTTGTAAAAATAGACTGGGATTTGCTTGTTAAGATTTTAATTTCTTTGGTTGTTTCATTTTATTCTTACAATATGTTTAAATGTTTTTATGCATAAAAAATGCACAAAAATAAAACAAGTGTTTTGTTTTGTTTTGTTTTTTAACCGTAACTAAAAGCCAAGTTTCATGCACTGGGATCAATACTTTTGTGAAAAGAAGTTTGCCATACATAGCAAGACAAAAGACATTTTGTAGTACATTTTTAATCCTCAGAATAACTCCTTGTGTCTTAATGGAGTACTTCTATGGCTAGGTTTTTGATGATTATTTGCTTTTTACTGTCTTTCATCTTTTCAAGAGCTAAATTGCTTTGTATATTTAATTATCTAAACATTTTTAGTGTAGTTCTTTATATTTTACAGCTTTGCTTAGATTTGCAACAACGCACAGTAAGTTGCCTTTAAGTCTCTGCAGAAATGTAATTTTCATTATTGAAAGAACATACCCAAATGCTTTCTTCTTGACGATATTGCTTCCAATTCTGTCCACTGTCACTGAACATCAGAAGGTAGCTTGTTACCCAGTCTGAGCTCCCATAACCACCTTGAGTAGCAACAGCAGTAACCTCAGTTCTTTCACCAAGATCAATCTGAAGCCATTGATATTTATTGGATACAAGTGGAGACCAGCCACCAGCACCTTAAAAAGAAAGAAAAATAGTGAAAAGTATTCCTAAAAATAAGCAAGTTAGCACAAAACTTGTATATACAAAAATAAATTAGTTCATTTGAGCAACGTTATCTAATTAAAAGGTCCATCTCCAACATAGGATTTTCAAACTAGATTATTGTTAGGAGTTCTTTTCAACTCAAATGATTTAAAGATTCTCTGATTCTAATTCAAGATATAGTTGAATCAAAAGTATTTTGATATTATTTAGCAAGTATTCTGAAAATGTATACTAGATTACTAGATATTGTAACCAAATATAACTATTCTAAATTATTAGGAATTGATTCACACTCTTTTCTCTGTCTTGAAGTTCTACAATAAATTTTACAGAGTAATTTTTACCAATCAGACTCTTCAAGTAAAAAAATCTGAATTTTGTCATTTTATTTTATGCATCTAAATTTCATTTTATGTAGACTAGAAAATCTCCAGAGGTTCGGTCTAACCTCAAAGATTCTGCATGATTCTGTTCTGTGAGTCCTGGATGTACAAATGTGTATATGAAACAATAAAGCATATTTAGAGGACAAATTTAGACGGCACATGCTCTTTAAAATGACTAAAACATGTTTAAGCAAATGATAAAAGAGTATGAGATATACACATGCAGTTTCAAGTTCAGGCACACCTGTCTGCAAAGAAAAATATCTGCCCAAAGTGTAGAGCTACACCTCCAGTATTTTAACTAACCAGAAAGATATTAAAAGGAAGAAATTAAATCAATTCAGCGCTCCTTTGTCTTCCTTTGTTTGCTTTTTTTCCTCAGATCATGCTAGTTTTCCTGTAAAGTTGGGTGGAAAAGGTCAAAGGTAGGTATCAAACAATCTCATAGGAAAAACCACTGGTTTACGGAACTACATTGCAAAATATGCAAGCATTCAGACACAGCATCTGCTGAGTTTTATCTGAGAGATAAAATGAGATTTATGCTGAGAGAATGGTGTGGTAAAAATTAAAAAATATCTATTAAAGAACAGATTTAGATCTAACTCTGAAAAACACAATATAAGAGGCACCTTGAAAAGTTCTTAAAGCATGCATACACAGAACCAGAACAGACATATCTAGTTTCCACAACAATCAGTTAGCTACAATCCAATTTTATGCTTGTATGGGCTTCAAGATGTAGAAAAATTTATAGCTAAATACTACATATTGCTTAATTCTGTTTAGAGTCACAAGCCAAGTTCTTAACATTACTTCCTCTAAGAAAGAAAAAGAAAAAAGAATTTTTATTTAGGGTTGCAAAACTGTCACTTAAATATAAAATGGTGAGAAATTATGCAGGTATTCATAAATTGCAAAAAAAGTGACTTCTGTTGTACAGAAAGAACTGAGAGAAAAACAGAAAGTCCCATATATGTAACATTTCCTTTGTCCACACATTTAAGAGCTAATTAAAACGTAACAGAATTAAAACTATGGCGTTAAATACTGTGTATATTTTTTTTCTCTCTTTATCTAAATCAGTATTTTGAATTTTATGTAAATATGTGATTTCAGTGGCTGCACCTCAATTACTCTCAAGCAGATTCCAAAGCTTTTCCTTATGACCACATAAATTCATCTTTCAAATTCATCTTTCATCTGCACTGTCTGTGCAGAACAGTGTTGTGGCATCAAACAAGAAAACTTTGTGAACAGTTGTCATGGGAGTTAAACAAGGGTCCTTGCACCCACAGGCAGAGTGGTCCACATTCACATCATATACCGTATCTGTGACACATGCCACATAAGTCTTAACTGCCACCTTAACTTCCAAAACCTCCGTTCATGCATGAACACATATAGTCACAACATTCCGCTGCACTGTGTTATCCAAAGCCTTCTTAGAATTAGATGTCACCATGCTAAGTTTGGTGACATTTTTGAACTGTCCGCTTGAAAAGCAGGGTTTAATTGTAGTCAACAGGAGTAGTCTGGCAGACTGTGCTGAGTATGTAATTTGTAAATTCCTTCCGAGGCAAAACATGTTCACTTGGTGACTGCAGAACTTTATTCAGAATGAAGTAATGGAAATTAGAAGGATATTTAAAAAGTGCCTGAAAAGCAGTCTGTTATGGCAGTACTACTCGGCACTAGCCTGAGGTAAGCACTCCTGTCTTTAGTACTGTGTGTTCCAGAAGTTTTTGCAAGGCATGCCACCATGTAGTCTATACCCCCTCACCATGCTGCACTACATGCAGAAAAGAAAGGGACATAGATACACAGCGTTCTAATGTCAGGGCTGTTTGATTTGAGGCATTACAGTAAAGATGCAGTCCCAGAAGTCATCTATTAGCCTTGTACAATACAACGTAAGACCCATAAAGAATAACCACTGAGCCACGATGTTATCTCCAACAGCCTGTATTAAGCCACAGTCTGGACCACCAGGAAGAAGCTGCAACGTTTCCTGAAAAAACACTACACTAGTTCACACAATGCTTTCATCTGTCAAAGGCTCTTCATGAGCTCTTTTTGTCTGACTGTCCAGCAGCCAGGTGTTCTCCCAGCATCTGACTGCCACCTGAAACGTCACAGATATGAAATGTTTGCCCAGTCCTGCAGGAAACCCTAGCAGAGCATGTTAGCTTCTGACTCAGCATTCTTTACAGTGTGTCCTGTCCTTGCAGCAAGATTAATGTGGGTACCAAACCGCAGTCGCTTTTGGCTGTAGAATACATTTGGGCACGGTGATGCACAGAAGTTAGCTGCATAACAGATGTCAAAAGGATCTTGTTTGTCAGAATTCATGCTGTATGGTGTGGGTGTTCCTGGGAAGATCTGGAGAGGTCTTAAACAGCTTCTCACAGGAATGCAGATACTATCTATATTAAACAAGGCTGTGCCAAAATGAAAGAACATGTAGGGATAGACTAAGATTTACAGGAACATGATTTTGTCATCTCTCAACTTACTGAATTATTGACTTTGAAGTTTCCACCTTATTTCTCTTCTCTCTTCTTTTGTCAGTGCCTTTTATATAAAGCATATGTTTTCTTCAATTACATCTGAATCTACGTTTTACAGTGACTGATGAAACACCTTTTGTTGCAAACTAACAGCAAATCAGAAAAATAATTTTCAAAGGAGAGAAAACCTGTACGTAGAGTTCCTTTATTTGAACTTCATCTCAGGGGGCTTTTAACCCTTTTTAATTTCTACTGTCTTATGCAACATACCAAAAATCTACATTCAAGCTGCCCAAGCATGCAGAATTCATCCTTTATTTCTGTTAAAAACCCCAAGCATTACACAGCTTCTTTTTATGAAGACCATGCTGACTTCAAGTTGAACACACAGGTAATACATAAAATCTTTTCATTTCACTTATAATTCCTATTACATTGTTTTAAATACCAGTGCTTGTAAAATGTTTGTACACGTGATGTAATTTTTTAAAGTACATTAGTTTACTGAATACATTTAGCAATATTTTTTCTGAAGTACTAACTCCTTTTCTTAACTCATGAATTGTTGCCTTTCAATTCCCTTTTACTATGAACTTGCCAGTTTTACTTGATGGCTCATAGTAAATGAAGGATCTATGGTTACTGGGAGAATTAAATCAAAGTTCAGAGTTTCCATCAGTCACTTATACATACTAATTGATAAACAGCCTCCTTCATTTTCTGTGATATTCATCAATAAATTGATTATTAAATTATTGGAAAGATTCCTAAGTTTTTGATGTTTTTAATGCATTAAAACTGACTAATTTGTGCTAGATTTAAAATTTAAGCAATCATGCATCTTTCATATTTCAAATTTTGCCTGTGAAATTCCATTATTCTTGATTTCTGTTTCTACAATGTTATAACATTTATTTTCAAGTCAGTTAAGTGAAATATATTGGAGTTTCCTCACACATTCACTCCAAGCAATGCACAGTGCTCTTCTGTGGGAGTTTTACAAGGTGGCAACATTCATCAGTTCAGTCAGCAATTTCTTCATCACTACAACTGCCAAACTATAAACAAGAGTGCAGCTTGAAATCTGTTCTGAATTTATGCACTAAATTCAAGCAGAAGACTTGCTTTCCTTCAAATACTTCTAGATATTCTATTTCTAGAATTCAAATTTTATGCTCTTCATATGTAGTTTAAATTTTATTATCTACCTTTCTTGCTTTTGGAGGTTAAAAAACCTCTGCTCTCTCCCATGACCATCAATATAAACAAATCACTACACTGAATGAGTATTATTTCATTACCCTGGTTCCTGTCTGCTAGGATAGGTGTTTAAAGAGCTTTTGCTTTCATATTTCGTTAGCTTCACTGGGATGACAATATCATTATCACTAACATTGCAAATAGAAAAAAAAAAAAAAAACTCAGCAAAATTAGCAAATACCTACAAAAGAACAAAACTCAAAATGACTAAAGATATGGTCAAAAATCTCACACCTAGGGCAGAAAATATCTGAGTATGTAAACCACAAAACAGTTCACACTCATACATGCCATAACATCTGCTTCTTCACACGCAGTTCATTAGACAATTTAGCCAGCACCAGCACTTACACCGCTCTTGAATTTCATTATTTTTTTGCATATTTAATTGCAATAATTGCAAGAACTGTATTAGCAAAAGTTAAGGTTTAAAACTAACACATATCAGAAAGGATGCTTTCCTTTGATTAATCAAACTGTGTATTTCCCATATGGATCATTTAACAGAAGCTGATTTTAATTTCAAGCCAATAAAGTTGCAGCAGGGATGAATTTGCCTGCACTTATTACAAAGCAGATTTTCTGCATGCAAGCAATTGACAACTGAGTGTTCTAACGTTTTAGTGAGATGAAAAATGAACTGCTTTACAGCATTCAAAACCTCTAAAATACAAAAATATGACACTATTTAATTTCTTAAGCTGAATGGTATCCTCTTTCACAATCTGAGAATTAAAATCTAGGTGTATACCTATATAAACAGTCCAAGGGTTTTCTTCTTTAAGTTTATTGACAGATAATAGAAGTGGAGAG